TGTTGTTATAGCAGTGTCATGTAAACCAAGCGCTGCTTTCACATTTTCCCATTTCCCACCTTTGCGTTGAGCTACATTCCTGTTAATTAACCCTTCTTTGCAGACAAATCAGGTGTTCATTCACTTCATCCAAGTTCATCTCCCAGAAGCAAAAACCTCATTCACTCCCTTCATTGTACCAGCGTGATGAGCGTGACTAAAGCTCTACAGCTGTGAGAGCCTTCTTTGTTTCCCCACCACTGGTTTTTCCACTTATAACACATCTTTTGTCTAATGTGTCGAACGTTTTTTCTGAAGCCTTGTGTGTTTATTGGACATGTATATCTAAGTGTGATTGTGTTGGTGAGTTCAGCCCATCTTTGTGATCTGGATGGATGCAGTGATACGCTGGATGTTTCACATTGCACTGTTTTTCTTGGCCTGCATGCATTAGTTGTGCTGCAGTTTGTGTTGTGTTTTCACGCAGACTAACGTGTTCGTCATGTTGCTTTGTGGAGACACAACCCTACAGGATTCTTTGCATATGATTTCTTCAGCTCTTCAGCTTTTGCAGTGCTAGACTTTTTGTTTTTAATGTAGTGTTGTGCATCCATGTGGTGTGTGCGACAGCCACATACACATACAGAAACACCATCAGGTGGTGATTTAGGGCTCGATTCACTCTTGGTGAAGCAGACTCAAAATGTGACTAATTGTGCAGCCCCAGTGACAGCATACGATGAGATGAAGTGAGTCCTGCTGCCTCTATGTGGAGGAAGCTGTTAGGAAGTCATAGCGCTGGGATGAGTCTTTGAGAGCGAGCAGCTCAGTGTGTTGGATCACATATGGTGTAACCCTCCCTGAAGGAGAGGCTCACAGTGTAGCTACTGCAAGCAAAGCAAAGCTGCTTTGCTAGTAAATACACATTCAGGATCAGCAGCATTTATCTGTCTTCATTTCGAAGCTCCCATCTGTGATTCACCTAGACTGTTACTTCATAAAGTCCCAAGGAGTGAAAAATGCAAAGGGAGCAGCAGGGAGTGGTCCTCGTCCAGCGCTGCATCGCCTCAAAAAGTCGACAAAGCAAAAACGATGCTCTGGGGACAGTTTAACATGTGATGATACGCTGCCGGGAAATGTTTTTCTCCACCTCTTCTGTCCTGAGTGGAGAGCACTGACTTATTGTGTAATGAGGCAGATGAGCGCAGTGAGAAATCAGTGGCCCAAAGAAAATGAGGCCTTTAGTCCTCATGCTCTGCTAATTGGCACTTCTCATGTAACATGTCAGAGAGAAAGATGGCGAGATGTTGACCTGTTCACTGATTCGATTGGTGCTCACTGTGCAGTCAATCAGTTGGTGACAAAACAACAGCGGTGAAAGCTGCATGATGGGCATGTGCAGATTTTGTTCAGTAACATGTATGTTCTTTTTTTGCAGTTGTCATGTTACACAAGAAGTGCTCTGCGAAATTAAGATTACCATCAATATTTTAGAAAAAAATATTTTAATTGCATTTCTCTGGCATAATCCAAACATGTGCAGTTGGTGCAGATACGTTAACTGGTAACTGTAAACTGCACATAGGGATAGGCTCCACCCCCTGTAACGCACATAAGGATCACAGGAGGTGGTGAAAATAAATGGTAATTCCAGGAGGTAAAACTCTTTGGTCAGTTTGTATTTGGATAAAGTACTGAGTGAAATTATTTGTCTGCACCTTGTGTTTGTACCCAAACGCAGACACTCGAGGCAGGAACAGCCGTTTATTTAGGCTGCATGAAAAATACAAACAAAAGGCAGAAGAACAAGGACCAGAACAACACTGTGAGAATTGAAATACTAAACACTACGGACGTAGAACCTTAAGCATCGAAAAACCTGAACATGACCCGAAATGAACAGACGACCTCCTTCTGGCGCCCCCCATGTGTGGCAGCATGTTACAGCAGCTCTGCTCATTTCTGAACTTCTTACTTATTTCCCCTTTATTTTCTCGTAACTTTTAAATTAAGTCTTAGAAATTTCTCTCTTATGTGCAATACTACTAAATGTAATGTGCAATATTGTGCAATACTGTCCGATGCAACATAGTATGTTATTCTATCTCATTCTATTCTATTGTTTTTCTTAATTTTTGCAGCTTGTAACTTTTTTTTGTGTGACCCAAAAAATTTTCCACAATAACACCATACGCTACACTACACTATGCTACACTACGCTACACTACACTACGCTACACTACACTACGCTACACTATGCTACACTACGCTACCCTACGCTACGCTACACTATGCTACACTACGCTACACTACACTACGCTACGCTACACTACGCTTTACTATGCTACACTACGCTACACTACGCTACGCTACGCTACACTGCGCTTTACTATGCTACACTACGCTACGCTACACTACACTATGCTACACTACGCTACACTACACTACGCTACACTACACTATGCTACACTACGCTACACTACACTACGCTACACTACACTATGCTACACTACGCTACACTACGCTACACTACACTATGCTACACTACGCTACACTACACTACGCTACGCTACACTACGCTTTACTATGCTACACTACACTACGCTACACTACACTATGCTACACTACGCTACACTACGCTACGCTACACTACGCTTTACTATGCTACACTACACTACGCTACGCTACACTATGCTTCACTACGCTACGCTACACTACGCTGCA